AGATGATCCTCGTTCGTGGAAAACAATTTGTTTAAAGTGTAATCAGACTCATGATCTCACTAAACCTCTTGCATGCTGTTTTTAAATGATAATTTTTTAAGAGACAATGTGAATGCTTTTGTATAGTTTAAGATAATTTGTTTGTTGTCTAATGGGATCACAGTAATTGGCCAAAAGCTGTCGTGAATACCCTGTCACAATTGTTGTAAATTGTTGTATTGTTAGATCTATAGTGCATTGCGAGTTATCTTGCATCTACGGTTTTCATGTCTGTTTTAGTCTGTTTTAATATGGTTTAACAGTTTGTTAGTCCTGGAAAACGATACATGTAAGGATAGCTCGGAATGTGTTATAGTCATTATAGTATTTAGATATGTAATTTATATTGTGACGAAGTTTATAAAAATAAAAAAAAAAAAAAAAAAAAAATATTCAATAAAATACTACCATTAGGGATTTCGCGACAGAATGGGGAGAATGATTTGTGCGTGCGAAAGCAATGCCCAAAGAAATAGCCCGGAGGTTAGTTGCCAACCAAGAGCGTCCGCCGGCGCGCTTTGAAATCGTACATTTTATCTGCGCTTGCTAATTAATTTCTGTTGGCAAGAAAACCAGGCACCGTATAAATCATATACATAACGGGTAAATCTTACTTATTTCGCTTTAACATTAACTTCCTTTTATTTTGCTAAAAGCACAATACTGTCTGCTATGCATATTTGATATTTTGGATCCAGAATTTAGATGTGGGAAACATGATACAATATATTCAAGAGAAAAACCTAACACTGCGTTGTCAACGTAAAGTTCACTCAAGCGGGATTTGAACTCGTATGCATATTTAGCGAACCCGGATGGCCCTGTGCCAATTGACCACTTGTGTAATAAACTAAATTTTGATCTCAACAAAAATTTCATCACAGTTTGAAAGAGCATCACAAAATTAGTAATATTCCAAAGTTTCGTTGCGAAATGTTGTAAATGTGGAAAATATAGCCTTGCGAAGTTTGCAATTTTCAGTCATTTTAGATTACAAACGGGGAATTGACAGCCCAATACCCTTTGGGGCTGTCAATTTCCCGTTTGTAATTTAAAATGACTGAAAATTGCAAACTTCGCAAGGCTATATTATCCGTATTTTACAACATTTCGCAACGAAACTTTGGAATATTACTAATTTTGTGATGCTCTTTGAAGCTGCGTTGAAATTTTTGTCTAGACTTGTTTACAGTAGATCAAAATTTAGTCTATTATGCAAATGCAGCCTAGTCCCAGTCGTTCTGAAGCAAGCGCGAGAAAAAAGTGGATGTAGTACGAGACTGGGACCTAGGTGTGACGTCACAGCTCAAGGTGCTTCAGAACGCCTAGCAGATTTCAGTATTTTTAATATGGCGGAAAATTTATATATACAAGTAACCTTTTAATTATAAATACGACAATGTTCGTTCATCATGTACATGTTCGATGTCTACATAACCAAATCAAACTGTATTAAAAATGTGCTCAACTAAAAAAAAATTATATACAAATGTACGATACCGAGTTTGAGCAATCGTTGATGTTATTTATGTACTCGCAAGTTGTGATCAACACTAGACCATACTGGTATACACAACAACGCTTTCTACTTGACAGGTTTAAATTGCTGAGAAGATTGGAAATATTTGCCTGACATGACGGTGTGGTCAAAACATTCTTAGTCGGAGACTCGGCATAATTTTCAAGCTTCTAGATAGCATTTAATATGGCTATATATTTTAGTAAACACGAGTCATATTTAGCCCGTTATTCCATTCTGACCGTATGGCCGCGAAACGTAGCCTACTTCATTGTTCCGACAGCATTAGAGCAAAACTAATGACTTAATTATAAATGCAAAGGAAATTTCCATAACATTTCCATTTACAAATGAGGCATGCTTGGTAACCAGGCCAGGGACCACTTTTTTGAAATCAGGGACCATTTTACCGAAATCTGCTAGGCTCTCTTGCTGAAGCGTTCCGCACAGCACACCCAGGCATAAAACTTTTAAAACTTATTTAAATATATCAAAGCAGCGAATAGAAAGAGAGCCTGGGACTAGGCTGATGCAAATGGTCAATTGAGTTATCGAGCATGACTTCAAATCCATGTTTAGGTGCACGATGTACAGTACTCTCGCGACTTTAATAACAACTTAAATTAAGCATTATTCTTTATACGAAGGCGACAGTCATTCAGCTCCATCAGTTAGAGCCATCATCAGGGAAACATAAATAGATGATGCAAACATATAATGAACTAGCAATGCGCATATATATTCATATCATATGTGAATGTGATATCCGTCAGAATTCATATATTCGATTATGCCAAATTGCATTTATGAAGTTCAGTTATGCTAATATGATATTCAATATTATAATATTCGAATTTCATTTTGCATGAAAGAGTCACTATTAAATTCCCAGGCGTTGACACTCGCCTGAAAATGACGACATACGTGCTATAGTGCAATATATAGACGAAAATATAAGTCGTGAACCGCAAACGCAAAGCGTGAAAGGCTGAAAACGTGGTGTAATCCTGAGGAGATCTTTTCGTAATGTCCAATGAAGAACAAGTACTATATTACTCACAAATACAAACGTTATCCATAAATGCACATGGTCTTTGAGCATGCGATGCGCTAACGCCGACAACATTATTGTTTACTGACTGAGTTTATATTCCGTGAGTCTTTGATAAAATTCGAAAAACTTTCCCGAGATGTTGCACAAAAAATCTAAGTCAACTTCCAGGAAAGTGCAGAGTAAAATTCGGTAAAATTCAGAAAAACGCGGTAAAATTCGTTGGCAAATGAAGAAATTGTTTGAGATTAAATAGTCAGTCATTGAGTTATGGCCGCCATCTTGATAACTGATCGGTATAGTAAACTGGAACAATTGAAAAAAAGAATAAAACAAAAATATTAGGGATTTAAGACACTTGACCTTTCAGGTCAGTGTAATTAGTCATTCGGCATGGCACTCAGAAACCAGAATTCAACTTCCGGTTTGGCATGACAATCAAAAACCAAAATTCGATTTCCAGGTTTGCGGGAAAAGGGGTTTCTTCCGCACAAGTTCAACCTCATTCCCGTGCTGAGAAGGCCGTGGCATCGACTGTCATTTTACACCCCAAATTTTGGGGTGTGAATACATTAAGACCACTTAATTTCAATGCGCGAAATTGGTTTGTTCTTCAAAATTTCCTATACTTGCTGCTCGAAGACAAGGTAAATTTTATATATCCTCGGGGGTATGTGTTTATTCACCTCGGCGTGCAAAACGTACTTATTTTTCATTTTGCGAGGTCGCGTTAGAAACAAATTGTAAGCCATATTGCCTTCGTGATGTTGTTTTTTCTCATTTTTTGTGCTGCAAAGACATTGCAGGTGAATATTAGCGGGGATTATTAGGGGAAAATTGATTAGAGGCGAATATTGAATATATTCCCCGATAAGAACAAAGGAAACCGAGCAGAGTGAAAAATAACAATAAATATTTTTACTCTCAAACAATACGCCAACAAAACGTTAGCATAAGGTTGTAGGTGTTTGTTTTCCTGAAGTACACTTCAACCGGTCTCGTACATGGGAAGTTGTTGACAAGGCTCGATAGGCTGGAACTCGTAGACTGCAGTGAGTCTGTGAACACCAAATTCTTGCATCCCATGTATTTCTCCATGTCCTGAGGGATGACCCCTACTTCCATATTGAACTTGCCAATTTTATGCACGATCAGGTAGCTATCAATCCCTCTCAAGTTGCGCAACCGTGATTATTTCTGTTAGCCTGAAGCTAATGATGCAGTCGTGTTGTGCAGATCCACGTTAGTTCCTATAAACATAACAGTCACATCTTTTTCTCAGTAGGTCTCACCACAGATGCGACACTTCCTATCGCTTATGAAATCTCTTTTCACTTTTATAATGGACGACTTACGCTTGGAAAAATTTTTAATCTGGGAATAACAAAGGATATTTTCTGAAAGATGTTATCAAAGTTAGAAAAACTGCAAAGTTTGGTTGCGAAATGTTGTAAAATACGGAAAATATAGCCCTGCGAAGTTGGCAAATTTGTATACATTTCTATTACGTGCGGAAATTGGTAACTAATTTAGTTAAAGGGCTACTATATAAAGGGCTATATTTTCCGTATTTTACAACATTTCGCAACCAAACTTTGTCATATTACTAATTCCAAGACGCTCTTTCCAGCTGTGGTGATAGATTTCGTTGTTCTTACTTAGATTAAGTCGCGATTTAGCGCAAGTCGTCCATTATAACCTTTTTTTTTGGAAGAACTCCTTGGATTGCTTATTGTACCTGCTTATCGTAGCAGCACACTACCATATATTCATTGTAACCACAGTCGACCAGTCTCTCGTGATAATTATTGGTGTATGACTCGTACCTTGGGAGTATGCCATCTCGGACCTTCTTCTGGATTGCCTCGAAGTCAGCATATATTATAAAGGCACTGGTATTAAACTAGTTGCTTATGAAAGTTTTCAAACCTAACGTAGTAGGACTCTTTGTATGGCATCCTAATGGTCTGCTCTCCATTTTTCTCAAGGTGGATGCTTGTATGTTCCTCTAGGGTATCTTTTGATGACAAGAACTATAAACAATAGGCTACATACAGAAGTGTTTCCTACCTTCACACTTTTTTTGACTTTCCATATTTCCGTCAAGGTCATGTATGAGAACGTAATGGTTGACTGTGTTCTCACGGCTTATCATGAGTAACTCGATGTGGTCTTCGAAATTTTTCCCGGGACACGTGTATAAACAAATACAGTGTAGGAATTGCGCTTATAAACAACACATTTTGGTTCCTTTTAGTTGTGTAAAAATATATCATAACCAATTCATACCTTATTAAAATGACATCCGCGTATATACACGGTTTCCCCCTGTGTTCAGCATATCGGAAGATATTGACTTTGATTTCGTTCTGTTTTTCTATTTTACCGTAGTGCTTAGGGGTAACAGGGAACTCGACGCCTCTGTAATCCAACTTCTCCAGGAATGTCTGATCGCTTCTCTTAGTTATTTGAGGATCTTCCTCTTCTGGATTAACATATCTTATGCGACACCACCTAAAGCACTCGTCAATGCTCTGTACGTTGATCAGAACCGTGCTGGCTTTCTGGAGAAACTTCCAGTAATTGCGGGTACGATCTACCTTTCAGAGGGAAGTGCATGGCCACATTAATGTAATGACCCCGCACCTCCTTCTATTCACTCCAGTTACTTCCTCTTTTCAGGAAAGCAGAATAGATCTGGAAATACTAGCCTGCATGGCAGGCGTAGCATATTACGACGTGCGTTTGTACGCTGTGCCACATCCAACGATACACCACATCCAATTTAGGATTTCATCTTCGCCCAGAAGCAGTGGTTGTAAGTTGAGGCGTATCGGTACAACGAGTTTCAATAATATACTGAATGTCCCAAGGCATTGTAATCTGGGCGAGAGCAAATGTTTGCAAAATAAATAAAGTAGCTCAATACAATTAAAAAAAAAAAATGAAAATTCACGATTTAGATGCGTACTTGTTGATAAACATAAAGTACCTTACTTTATATAAAACAAGTATCTAAATAGTTTGAATTTTTGTACAAAAGCTACGGAACTGCCGTTGCTATGGCAACAATTACGTTTCAAGATGGCGAATATTTTTGGCTTTAAAGTAATTTAACACGTAAACGACATCGGTGACTCAAATTTTATTTTAAAAAATGATTTCTCGTATATTGAATTACATTGACAACTTAAAAAAAATTAATTACATTGAAAATTTGCTAAAATGTTTTTAATTACGTAAAGGTGATTATTCATAATATTTAAAAATAAAATATGGGAGTCACCGATGTCGTTTACGAGGTAAATTATTTTAAAGCCAAAATATCCGCCATCAAGGAAACGTCATTGTTGCCATAGGAACGGCAGTTGCGTAACTTTTGTGCAAAAATTGAAACTCTTTAGATGTTGTTTTATATATAAGGTACATTTTACACTGGCCTGTACGCCAAGTGTCTTGAATCCCTCTTTTTCCGCTTTCTGTTTTCGACGAGAAATGGAGTTTTCGTTAGGTCTTCGCAGGCTCAGGGTGCAACTTGCTCCAGTGTCATATTCAGTTCAGTTTCAAAAGGGCTGCTTTTCACTAAGCGATCTAATATATATTTCACACAGTTTTGTTGAATTTTCAAAGAATTGTGCCGATTTCCTATGGATTTTACGTTGTGTCGCACTCTGGCCTTTCTTGCGTGTTGAATTAGTGTGTTTTTCTTTGTGTAACGACTGAAAAACCACAAAGTTTGGACCAAGCGAATTTATACAATATAATGGAATATAAACAAGGACAAGTTAAAGATTTGACAGTTTGACTTTTTAATTAACAAGTATAAATATACGTTGTACGTAGGCTCATAAACATGCGTTGTGCTCTTGCATTTATTTGCATAGTTATAAATTTGCACCAATTACATTAATTTGCGCCAAATTACTTTCTAATTCATCATATCTTACTATAAAATGTATGTTTTTGATTGTATTCAGCGAGGTGGCGTTGCGTGCGGCGAATTGAAACGTGATACGGTTTGATTTGGTTTTGGAACAAGATCCAACTTTCCCCTCCACTTTTTAGTGTGAAGTTTCTTCGAAACTTCACAGTATTGTGATGGTGGGGGAAATTCAAACGAAACAGTCAGTCAGTCAGTCATACAGTAAACTTTCCGGGGGGCGTGTACGATTTATGTTCGTAGTGATTTATTGTGCTTAGTCAGTACTTTGAAGGTTATTTAGGCAATTTCAGTTTAACTTATTTACATATTCTGTTATCCTTTTACCAAGTTCACAAAAATTTCGAGCAATCGCTTTCGTTATTGTAATTCTTTGTAAATTTTAGAACATTCGCTTCTCATGTTGTGTAAAGGATCTTTACCCCGGAACACCCGATTTTTCTTTAGTAGCGCAAATGCGCATGCGCTATCAAGCCGTAGATCACGATGGCGTGACGATATGCTAGGAAGGAGTGACAGTGTTGTTTTCAGATGTATAAACATTTCAGACGTGAATATTGAGTAAATCTTTGAAAATCTACGCAATATATAAATTGATCTTATGCATTACGGCCGTTCAATTAATAAGTGTCGATAATATTTAGGCGGTATATTCATTATACAGAGCTAGGAAGGAGCTAGACCGCCTAGACAGTGCATTTAAGACTCAAGTGTATAAACATTTCAGACGTAAATATTGAGCCGAAAATCTTTGAGATTCTAGGCATTCAATTGAGTGCTGATATTATTTTCACGGTATACTCATTATACAGGGGTACAGTATGTACGAAGAAGCGAGACAGTCTTGTTTTTCAAATATATAAACATTTCAGACATGAATATTGAGAAAATCTTTGAGATTCTACGCAATAATATGATATATAAATTGATGAGTATGGTTACCGGCGTTCAATTAAGTGCCCATCGATAGACGATATTATTTAGACCGTGTATTCATTATACATTGTTATTTGACTGTATAAGGTGCCACATCACAGAATAGTACACTCAGGCAAAGAGCGAAAAATTGCATCAGATCAATAAAGCATCAACAACTATTATTAAAACAGAAGCGGGCGTTCGTACTGGCGTTTATGAAGAAAATATTGCGAGACGAAGGAAATCAGTTGAGTCAGAGCTCCTTATTTTAATAAGAAAGACGAGGAGATAGCCAATATGTTATCGCCAACGTGTTATCGCCAATCGCTTGGCTCACCAACAAGCTTTATGTAATGGAAGAAAAAAGCAAGGAGGTACATGTAGCCAACGTGTACTGTCGCGGACTTTGTTTACTGTCTAGCACAACGCCGTTGTCAACGGTGCAAATTCGTGTTCAGTGCAACGTTAACTCTACCAGATCTTACGAGAATTAATCTGTAGTATTCTGTACACAGAACTGTATCAAAGCTTGTCAAAACTGCTTTAAACACTGCTATAACTGTGAAACTATTGAAATCTAAAGTGACATTATTCAAAACATGCGAAAAGCTAAAAATAGACACAACGTGACACTGGGAAAAGTCAAAGGTCAATGCGGACTTGTTATTGTAAAACATGTCACAATTAGGTTAAAATGCGGAAGCGGATGGAGCGGACCACAGAACGGAAATGCGAAAAAAATACGGAACGGATGAAGATAAAATGCTTCCTTTCAATGATGTAACGACGTAGTGCTTATTATTTATAACATATCGTATACATCTATTTCAATTATAAGTTTGCAGTAGCCTTGTGCGGATGCTTTTAGCGACAGCTGCAATTGAAATTTCGAATTGTCGCGTGTAGCATCACAATAAATAGATAAATTGTATCAGTTTCACAAAGCACGTTTCTGATGTGTTAGGCTTGTTTCAAACGTCACGCTACTCGTGTGTCGAGCGCATTAAAAGCAATATATAATGAGATGAAATGCCGTTGGTGATTGTTTTTTCGTAGTGTAAGACATCAGCTTTTCTAGGTTGTCAGCGACCCAATATAGTTCTTGCAGAATCTTTTTCAATTTGAAAATTCACACTATCCTTGGATCCCTAGTTTAATTCTCAAATTGTTTATTAGATGTTTACTGGTTGGGGTTAGAGAACGGCTGTGGGTTGGGATCAGTTTATCCTATAAATGGAAGGAAATTGGCGTATTTTTTAGAAGAATCGTCTACGTTTATGAACTTTTTAGCGCCTGAAACTAGCCTTATAACGGCAGTAAAAACCAAAGACTAAAATTTCTTCGCTATTATTGGCCCGTCATTATTCACGGTTGGTAGTTGATGATCATAGTATTACAGTGGGCCTGGCTTGTCAGGTTGAGTTGCACGTAGCCGGAGGGTACTTCTGAGCTGGCGTCTTCGTATATTATGGTTGATAATTGCTAATCATGATTGTATTTATTGGTTGTATTTATATGATCCAGTATCCCTATGATCCTGTATCCCTATCTACTTCTCTACTTCGCATTATACCCAGTACCACGAAAGTGCATGCCATTCTCAGGCCAGTGTGAACGCCTGAGCAGGCGTCTTGTTGTTTATGAACAAGTAATAATTGTCCAAAAATACGGATCTAAATCGTGATTCTTCCATTGTCGATTTCAAATTTCATCAGTTTTTACCGGCCGAGAAAAATGCCTTAATTAGTTAGAAGATTTATCTGGCTGCATTACTCGCAGCAAGGCATTTATTTATTACATTTTACAACTGCCTTATGAAAATTATTATAATAAAATCGTCGTCATAAATTCGGCTCAAACACTACCTAAACTACATATAACAATAAAAAATGTACGTGTTTAAAGAGTGACTGTATCACGCCAGTGATGCTTTGCACGCATGTGTTTACATTCTATGTTTACATTCGGTTGTATCTCATGAATACACTTAATTATAGCTTTCATTACAAACGTTTTGGATAAAAGTCCCGCAAAATTTAAAAAGATAAATTAACTGCTTACTTCGTTAAAAAAAGAAATTGAGTTGTTTTTCAATCGGATTCAGATAAATATGGGCCAGTAAAAAAATTAAATCTCGGAGATAAATTGTAAATGTGTTAATAGTCAGCCATTTTCTATGCTTCCAAGCGTCTAAAGGCTCACTGGCACGATACGCACGCTTTATGCCAATTATATATCTGCATGACGTACGAGCTTTATCATTACTATGTCAATTAACTCCCAAGAAGTCGCCATCTGTTGGGTTTGAATGAAAACGCTGTTAGTGAATAGATAACTAATTTGCTTGACCTTTTTAGAGAAAACAAAATGAAAATTTGTCGTGGACAAGTGCCTGGTTTAAGCGAATTTCTATTGCTGTTGCTGTTGCCTCTTGCTGTTAAGTTGAAAGAAGAATTTTACATAACAGAAAATGCACGTAATGGGACGACGCTGTTTCGTTCGCCGCGTCAAGGTATGAATAAATTAAATTAATGTGTTTTAGCATCGATGATATTATTAGTTTTTATCTGCTTGCTTTAGCGGTAATACCTCATTACCTTGCTTTCGCTGTACTTACAAAATTATTGGTTTATATATTAAAACGTGTATACACGGATGTCATTTTAACATGGTAATGAAGAAGTTATGAAATATTTTTTCGCAACTAAAAAGGACCCAAATTCTAAAAATCTATCAAGTAACTTCGTAACTGGTTGCGCTTTCGTCAAACTAAATTCAGAACTAGTCTATATCGCTAATTGCCTATACAAACACGAATATTAATAACCTTGATCCCAATTAATTGCAGTATCTGTAGCAAAAGTATTAGTGAAAAGAAAGCGCTATATTATCCTCCGTTGAGGATATCAGATATTAATTTATTTAGCCTAGCCAATATTTCCATTCTAGCTAGTCGAGTCATGTAGTAGCCACGCTATTTATACACGGTATTATTATATAGTAGAGCGTGAGATGCTGAGAAATACACAGTGACATATTTTCCATATCTTCAGTAGTGAAGATGTCGATCACGTAACTTTTGGTGTTTATACAATTTTTTGCTTGGGACTATATAATAAACAGAACTTTACACGCTGGCTTGAAGATATGACTTTTATCTTCTCGTGTTAAAAACAATATTGTTTTCACCACTCGAAGATAAAAGTCCTATCTTCGCGCCGCCGTGTAATATCCTCTATGTACACGGCACTAAATATACACTTTTTTTCGAAATTGTTCTGATAGATATTGTAGATTGTGTACTGTTTTTCAGCGCTCGAATTCATGTTGCAATCTCGTACCCAAAGTGTACCCGTTTGCTGTTTAGGCGCTGGGCATAAGTTTTAGTTGTGCGCATCCTCTTGCTCAAACCGCGATGCTGAATTTGCGTGGGCGTCATATAAGTTGCAATTATAATATCGAAGAATTTGTAGAAAATTTGATAATTTTTACATTGAAATAAATTGTAAAAGATGTATTTTCTTGTGTTAAATGTTACAGAATGGATATAATATATGCGGTATACATAAACTAAGCATTTTTTGTGGATTTTATACGGTCAAGAAATGGTATCGAGAGACTTCGCAAGAAGGTCACTGACGGAGGTTTTATAGAGGATGACTGTTGTATTTTTACTAATTTTAATACAAGTTATAATGCTTTAGATTATTACATACGATCAGATCAGAGTTTCTATATACATTACAATATCTAGAATGCTTGATGTGCCACTGTGGACCTTTGGCTCCCTAACCTATTTTGTTTATTACATATTTTAAAATACTTTGGTGCCTTGATGTATAATATTAAACTGATATCTAATGAGTATGAAAATACTGTTTTCCCTCTATTACTCTGTATTCCTTTGATTTGACATTGTGCATTGCATTCATAACAAACAGTTCCATGTTTATATGTATCTAATTTATTTAATTGAGTCATAAAATAATATGTTCACAATTCTTGATGTTTGAAAATAACTTAATTAAATGGAATTATGATTGATATAATATTTTCATACCTATTGGGTTTAACAATTAACATAGGACAATGTGATCAGGACGGGTGCCTGTCTGAAAGGTAGCATGCAGGTATAAGGCAAGGTGTTGCTAAATTGTCGATCTAAATACCTGTGGCACTGATTGGGAAATCTGCCATTATTTGGGTTCTACATTACCCTGACCTCCTGACATTGCTACATATCCCTGGGAGATAAATCATACTTTTCATGTACTGATGTATGCCCACAACAGGCGTATTGCCAAGTCAAGGTTATATAATGATGCAGGCAGAATGTAAGATGCATGTGGGATGACCTGCTGCAGCTATACGACATTGTGGTAGCCATACTGGTATTGTTAGTATATATAATTTCAGCACATCAAATTGTCTTCTTTTATTGCAGTAACAGACAGTCATGATCAGACACTTTTGGTGGAAAGGCTGAATTTAGGTTGCCACAATATAAACACTATGGTGCTCTAAATCTCAGTTCTTTAAATTTTGCCTCAAAATTCTGGCATTTATAGCTTATTTTATTCCCATGCATGAATATATATGTTTTCATGGATGTTACTATCATCCAAAGGCTTTCAGAGAGGGGAGAGTGATTTGTACCATAAACTGCTATCCTATTTATTTTCTGTTAAGCCCCAAGCTGGCCAAGCAGCTCATTTATTTCAGGCATGGAGTCTAGAAACTATAGCACATACTTTCATAATTAACAATCCGCATATATGCATTTCTTTGTTGTAATCTCGATTTCAGAGGTTGTGGAGGGCTTAAAACAGTATTTTTTGTTATAAAATTATTACTTTCATCGAATATTTTACTACTATGGTTGGGTCACAGAATATAATACTTTAATTTAATTTATTTAGGCTATATGAAGCTACGTTTACAGGCTGCGATTAATTGTGTACGGTTCGTTTTCTGGCGTATGTCATTGAGTAAACACGCGTAAGCTGGCTACATTTAAAATTTCTTTTTAACTTAAAGAATGAGTCTCAACCGTGACGCATTACGCGCTTGACCAGCTATTTTCGGGGCACCCGAAAATGGCGGCATATTAGGTTGTATGAGTGCACGATACGAAAATAGGTCTGCTTCAATTTGCAAGTCTGGCATTTCCCCTCCAAAACGTGGTAGGCCAAGATATGAAGTAGGAATCACAAGAATTAAATTAAAGAAGGATGTGTTCGAAACGTGGCTTTCAAGGAAGGATTCTCTTGGTTTTTCAAAGAAGACCCATAGTGAGTTTGCGATGCACTTGTTGTTGAATTTCTGCGAGGAAGAACGCGGCGAAAGTAATTTTATACCGACCCCTACTGATGGTAAGCATAAAACTCTTTTGACCCATTGCATGTTTTTACATGAACTTCGGCTTTATACATATCGGCTTGGTTTTTAAGTTTCAGACGCCAGACATATACTTCCAGTAGTCAATTCAACACCAAATGGAAATAGCAACATGGGATTATTTCATGCTACTTCGTCAATTTACAAGGATGATGTTCACGTTGCGTACATTGAAGATTCAACCTCTTCTCATCAGAATATGAATGTTAGCAGGGTGGAGAGCGTCTACACTTTCATTAATCCAGAATTTGGAATACATGCTGGCGATCCATCTTCTTCTGAAACCGATTGTTCAAGTTCAGAATCAACGGACACTTCGTCGACAAGGTACTGTAAATTCTAAACTAGGGTATAGGGTATATCTATATTTGGAATTCTGGATGATTCGCAAGTTAGTAATAAAGTGGAATAAAGAGGTCAATATTAAGGTTTATACATCATTCATAATCTAAAAGCGATGTTTGAAATGGTGATTACTGATCAGTTGACTTTTTTATTGTTTGTGACAGTGACATAGACAACAGTTTGGGGGAGAATTGCTGCAGTGAACTCTTTTTCAGTGATGATGTTGCGCGGTAATTTGAAATTTTGAATCATTTTAAATCTGATGTAGACTATTAATAATTAATTAGGTATCGATTACTTTTCTGATAATATAAATCCCAACATCCCTGGGTTAGAAATGCTCGTAGAACTACTCAATAATGCTGAACTAATTTGTAATTAATTATTTCCATATTTATGCTGCAGTTTTTCAGATGATTACGGTGATGAAACAACATTGAGTGCTATAGACCTGGAAGTTGATATGATATCTTCATGCAGTCCCAATATAACTAAAGGAGAAGAGGCTATGGACATCAGTGACCCAGAAATGGTGATGTTGGCAAGGAGCAAAAATCAGAATCATGCCCAGAAAGAAATGAAAGGTTGCTAAATCAAATGAAATCTGCATTCAATGTGTTAAATGGGATTGATAAACGAAACAATAGGTGCCAGGGAGCACTTTTTTCAATCTCGTGTTATTGTGGATGTGTCTATTATGGTGTTTATTTTTAACAAGGGCTGCCAACATCTATCTTGTTGAGGAAAAAGTAAAGTTGTAAATAAGAAACTTGAAGGAGGTGTTTTAAAAGTGTCATGGGAATGTTCCAAAGGTCACACTGGATGCTGGGCATCCTCGCAAGAACTCGGTCGGCACCATGGGGTGGCACCATATATAATTTATATATGCCAACCCTTTGTTGATGTCTGCTGGATGTTTAATTTCTGGAAATAACTTTGACAAACTATTATTATTTTGTTAATTCCTCGGACTTTGTATCATTTCAAATACAACATACTACAGAATGCGAACACTCTACGTAATTCCTGAAGTCACAAGGTACAGGGAGCAGATGAAAGCAGAAATTTGGAACATGCTATCTGAGGAAACTGTCATATTTTGTGGTGACGGACGCAATGATTCTCCACGACACGGTGCAAAATATTGTATGTATGCCTTAAGGGAACAGAGTTTGGATGTTATGGTTGATGTTGAAGTGGTTGATAAACGTGAAACAGGGGGTGTGTCAACCAACATGAAAGTTCTGGGCTTGAAAAGGATACTGGAAAGAATGGTTGGCAATATAATCATTTCAGAAATTGTAACTGATACATCGGCTGCTTTTATTGTCCTGATTAGAACGATCAAAGGTACTGTAATAAATTGGTAAATTATATAGACATGTTTTCAGATTTCAGAAAACACAGTAACCCTCAGGGCCATAGCAGACAAGGTAAAGAAGGGGGAATGTGTAATATCACATTTGCCGGACATTTCAGTCGCCAATTAATATTTTTCCCAAAATTGCTGTCGAGGGGAGGGGGTGGAGTCAAAAATGTTTTCGGAACTTACATTAATTTATCGTAATTTGTTAACAATTATCGTAAATTTTATTCTGAGCTACTCAAATATTTTCGATGAACATTAAATCCAAAAACAATTTGCCGAGTCAAGCAGGCATTTTTAGAGAGTGTGATGAATTGGGGTGTTAACTCCCCACCCCCAACAAACCCCTCTCTAGCTACGTCCCTGGTAACCCTGGCTAATATGTCTTGTTGAGGAAAATCGAATATAACTTGTTTAATAAAGTTGGTAACTACTTCAGTCATATTTATGTGTGATTTTAACTTTTCCCATTGCCAGGTAAATATCCCAATGAGTTCTCTCATCTCTTTCATACACTTGATATATGGCATAAATCTGTCAAATTGTCAAAAAAAATTAGCAAGGTAAAGTAGATGTACTGCCCATACAGTCTTACATACCATATAAATTTACAGAAAACAGTTATTCTTGATATGCAATTAAATCTTTTCCTCCCACTTCGCTTGCTGCATGTATTCTTGCATTCGCAAAAGTAAGTAAATAAATACTCAATATGTAAATACACGTTCTGTAGTATACTGTTCAAAAAATACTAAAAATAAAATACTATAAAATGTGATTATTTTTAAACATAAAACAAGAAAACTTACTTGATTTCGATTACTTTCAATATTTTGACGTGCAGGTGCAACTGCCAAAATCTCTTCGTCCACAGGTCGTACGACTGGCGATCCATAAGCGTTCAGATTGTCTTCTGGATCATACTGTTCAACAGCCAGATCTGAATCCGATTCGGAGTCAGACATCTTCACTTTCTTTACAAAAAAGAGCTCCAAAAATTGCAAAATTGGTCGACTATAAAATTTTATATATTAAAAACCAGGTGAGAATTTCCGAGTACAGTGATACCGCCTGCGTGTTTGCCTGCGGACAGGTTCTTTCAGCGTTTGTAAATAAACACAAGCGCGCAATGCATCACGGTTGAGACTCTTTATTTAACGAAACGGCAATGAATTATGGCGCCAGCACTCATTTTATCACGCCAGATTACGAATCGTACACGACAAATCGTAACGTGTAAGCGTATAGCCTTTAATTATATGAATATTATGGTATACCCAGACTTATATCCACACAAAAATTCTATGCTCGCTATGTCCAAGCACAAATCCAGAACCATAAGCCAGAACCCCCAACACTAGCGGTAACTAGCGCAATTGAATGGAAGTATGAAATATTTTATTCATCTGGGGCCGGTTGTATCAAGGCCGGATAGCGTTATCCACCGGTAGTGATTTTTTCAAACTTTGTAAAAATGCTTGAAAAACTTTGAAACTACGGATATAGACGACGCAAGAAGTATAAAAAACATTCAACTTATGAATACTAAACTTTAATACGAGTTATACCAATCAACAACTGAGTTAAAAAATTTGAAAAAATCACTATCCGGTTTCGTACAACCCGTCCCTGTTTCGCGAATTCAGCAATGTCAGTCAGCTTTCATATCTGTAATATATACCATGTTTATATATAAACAACAAAAGTATTTGCCACAATAAACGATACAAAACCCAAAAGTGTACAGATCGTATATAAATCCTCATCCAGAATTATTATAATGTATAACATTTAACTCGTATTTGAAATCTTGCAAATAAGCGTAATTTCGAATTTGTTTACGTCGTATTCGGGAATTTCCATGTGTAATACCCCGTTTACACGGTACCGGACCACTGATCTGAAATAAGACTGGATAACGCATCTATAGTATACAAAAGTGAAGCCGGAAATCACCGGCCGCCACCCGATTCAAGGGTCCCACTTTTGTATAGATTTATATTACAGATGGTAGTTTTTCGCGTTTTTTTGCCTTGGCTACGTTTCTGACCGGGCCAGTTTTAGAATCACAAAGATAGAAGCATACAAGAAGAATTTTGAGCAAAAAATGTGGAGTATTATGGCTTTATAACGCCACGAAACGGGATTTACAATTTTGAAGGAGTGGAGAGCCTCGCACTTTGTTTATCAACACGAGCCGTTTTGCTACTTTCATACAAAATCAACTCAAAATAAGAAATGAAGCAACTACATTGTGAACGAAAGCGTACAGAGGTTAGTTTTAAAATACCTTGAGGCTACTTTTATAATTATATGAAAATTAGGGACCAGTTTTAAATGTCAACATTGTCAAGAACATTCCCTCGACTTGTGGAGAAGTTTTATATGTTTCAAAGTAGGAAGACAAGTGACAATCAAATATTTTTTCATCCAAATTAACAATGACTCAATCATATTGTAGTTTTAAATGTCAACTTTTTCATGAACTTTCCCTGGACGTGTGCAGAAGTTTTATATGTTTTAAAGTAGGAAGGCAAGTGGCAATCAAATATTTTTTATCCAAATTAACAATGACTCATTACAATGTTATTTTAATTCATATAATTATAGGTATTTTAAAACTAACCTCTGCACGCTTTCGTTCCCAATGTAGCTGCTTCATTTCTTCAAATTTCCCGAAAATATTCGTCCAGTAACAGTAATTCTTGTATATTTTGAGTTGATTTTGTATGAAAGTAGCAAAACGAGCTCGTGTTGATAAACAAAGTACGAGGCTCTCCACTCCTTCAAAATTGTAAATCCCGTTTCGTGGCGTTATAAAGCCATAATACTCCAAATTTTTTGCTCAAAATTCTTCTTGTATACTTCTTTCTTTTTGATTGTATTAAACTGGCCCGGTCAGAAACGTAGCCAAGGCAAAAAACGCGAAAAACTACCATCTGTAATACAAATCTATACAAAAGTGGGACCCCAGAATCGGGTGGCTGGCGGTTACTTCCGGCTTCACTTTTGTATACTATAGATGCGTTATCCAGTCTTAGTACAGATCAGTGTACCGGACGAATTTGGAACCGTGCTGAAATTCGTCCCTTTAGGCCGTGTAAACAAAGCAGAACCACGGAACGAATTCGAGACCCTCTAACAGGACGAATTCGTGTGTAAACAGGCCAAAAAGACTAATTTCAGACCGGTCCACGATTCGTCCGGTACCGTGTAAACGGGGTCAAATTCTCCCATTTGCAACCAATTTCCGGTATTGGTGTCATTGATCTCACGCCAGCCAATGAAATTGATCATTTCATTCCGTTTCTCTGGAGTCATGCCCAGCACCTAACCTGCGAACGGGTATACTCTGGGTACCAGATTGGGTGAGTTGAGCTAGTCGATCAGTGTCACCGCGAAATGTAATCCAACCACAAAACTTCCCCTCAACCTGATAAACCACTGCTGCTCTTTGCTTTACATGAATGCAGTAGCTACTGCTAATATCTCAGATCGCCTGATTCTGATCACCATTCCGTAATTATATCAAGATATACATCAACTATATATCATCATTAAGTTCATTGTCGGATTTCATGGCGATAAAACATATAAATAACCAATATAATACTTTTGTTTGAGGAAACACCACGTAAATTTAGTACCGCAAAGCTTTCGACCGTAAGCTTTCTTCAATTATTAACATTTCACATATTTTTATAACATTTCACATATTATTATTAACATTTCACATACACTAAACCCCAATATAAGAACCTAGAATTTGCTGATTTATAGAACCTAGAAAATGATTTATATCAATAATCTAAAAAATATGACAGTAGCTATATGTAATTTATACCAACCTTGTATAAGCAGTTAAAGCTGCACTGATTGTAAATAAACTTATAGTATAAAATTTGGACTCTATTTGAAATTCTAAGCTGAACTGTTTCGTATTTAAACGGGGTCTAAACAAAATGTTTTAGCTTAACAGGTTCTTAAATTTTAGGTCAGTCTTAAATGCGGTGTTTTATACTGTATTATTATAACGTTTCACATATTAATTGTGCTGATGAAGATGCCGGCTTGCGGATAGAAAGCTTAGGCTCGGTCCCAGCCATTCCCTCTTGGGGGCTCTCTTGGAGGGAACGGCTGGGCGCATGCAGTGCGTTCCGTGTCTGATCACGTGTTATTAATAATTTCCAATATGCGATATTTCCGCATAAATTATAGAACATTTATATGGGTGAGTGTAATAAAGTCATTATTAAAATAGCTAGAAATGCTTGGTAGGTAGGAAAAAGAACACAATGAATTGATTGATGTATTATTAGCATCTGTTTGTGGATGTTTTGTTTGTTCTAATGAAGTTGAAAATGTAAAATATCGCACGAAATTCGTAGGCAGAACGCGGCAATTGCTGGAAAATTTTTGTGATATTTTGTGCATTTCTAAAGAAGAAGTGCCATGCGATAAATATTTGTGCTGTTCATGCCTGAGACAAGTTAACAAGTGCACCAAACTACAACAAGAAATTGAGGATTGTAAAAATCATCTCAAGAAAGTTTATTTAAGTGAGAATGAAAGATTTAAACGGTGTTTACCCACCGACGTAGAAACATCTCCACATGCATACAGCGCCCTCAAGGAAATCGGCTAGGCCTTCAACTATCGGCAACGTTAAACCCCAAAAACGTATTTTTAAAAGGAACGATCTTCCAAATGAGCAAACTCTGCATCGAGAAGTCCAATGTAAAATTGCTACAAACGCTATTAAGGATCTGTCTGTTGTCCCAAATCTATATAATACGAGCCATAATAATATTTAATACGAGACATAATTATGATAATTATTTAGCACCGCGATTTGCGGTGCCAGTATTTTGTTTGGCTAAACGGAACAATACGCACTGCATCCCTAACATATGGAAAGATGCGTTAATTACACCAATTCCTAAAGCGTCATCCGTATCCTGTGAGGAGGAGTTGTGCCCAATCTCCCTTACAGCCTCTTTGTCCAAAATTCTTGAGGACTTTGTGGTCAATTGGATGGTGGATGACGTGAAACATAAAATCAACCCGCAACAATTTGGTTGCCTTAAAGGAACCTCTACAACGTTTTGCTTGATCGATATGATCAAAGCGATATGATCAATGACCCAAAGCGATATGATCAATGACCCATCGATATGATCAATGACCCAAAGTTGCTGGCCCTTGGCGTCAGATTGTCGCTTATTCCATGGATATGCAGCTTTCTCTCAAATCGCCGTCAATCGGTAAAGATCGACAATTTCCAATCTGACTGGGGCATCAATAACGCAGGTGTCCCTCAAGGTTCAAAACTGGGCCCTATTTTGTTCATAATTATGATCAACGATCTTGAACTGGCATCCTCTAGCACTGACCATTGGAAATACGTGGATGACGTAACAATATCGGAGTCCTTAAAGAAAAATGAAGTTTCAGTCCTACAATCTGATCTTAACACAATTGAAAGATGGTCTGTTAATAACAACATGAAATTGAACGGAAAGAAATGCAAAGAAATGATAGTGAGTTTCGTCCGTAGCGAGAATGACATCCCCCGACTCCTCATTGATGGTTTACCTCTAGACTTAGTTCCTTCTTTCAAAATTTTTGGCTTAACCATGAACAATAAATTGAAATTAGGGATGAGCCGATACCAGAAAAAAGCCGATTCGCCGATCCGATATAAAAAAATAATCGGCCGATTAATCGGCTATGGCCGATATTTCTGTGTACCGGGGTACAAGCGCCGGATAACGGTTTTTTGACAACTTTTAATACTTGTGTATACGCCACAAACTGACATACTAGTTTTAGTGTGTTCCGGAAAATATTTACTCATATTGGACAGTTATATATCGGTCGCTGTACGAGTCAAATGAATTAATGGATATGGGATTAAATACGTGCAACAAAAGTGTCAAAAACAAGACGGAGGGTAGATTACTAGATTATAGAGGTATTTTTCTTAAAAAAACGAAAAAATTGCGAATATCGGCAAATAGCCGATTATAAAAAATAATCGGCCGATTACCGATTATTTTGAAAACGCCAAATATCGGCCGATTTATCGGCCGTACCGATTAATCGGCTCATCCCTAATTGAAATGGCAAGATAACACTGAAGCGCTAGTTAAAAAAGCCTCAAAACGCTTATACATTATTCGTGTCCTACAGCGCTGTGGTCTTCCCCCCAATGACCTCTTATTAGTCTACTTTTCTATGGTGCGCTCTATCTTAGAATATGCCTGTCCTGTCTGGCACACCATGTTACCAAAGTGTTTGGGGGATAAAATTGAAAAAGTTCAAAAAAGAGTTTTCCGCATTATTTACCCGACAACAGATTACGAGGATGCTCTCAACATCGCTAAATGCAAGCGCCTTGTCGACAGACGTCAAGAGCTATGTGCGAAAACTTTCAAGAAGATCTTAAAACCCAATGCTCACCTCAACCACCTCTTACCCCCACTCCGTGAAGAATCGCATGAACTGAACATAAGAAACAATTCTAACTTCACATTAACTAAATGCAGAACGGAACGTTTTAAAACTAGTTTTATACCAGCAATGACTGCTAATTTTAATAGTAAATAATTTGTAGTATTTTAACAACTGTACATATACGATATATCTATATTTATATTATCTGATATTCATCCTTTATTATGTTTCTATAAGCATATTGCAATTCACCTTCGGGTGCCAAAATGTGTTTTTTAATAAACCTTTAATTATAATGCGCCCAGCCGTTCCCTCCAAGAGAGCCCCAACAGGGAACGGCTGGGACCGAGCCTATAGAAAGCTTTGTAGTAGTAAATTTACGTGGTATTTCCACAAACAGAAAGTTTTATGTATCATTATCTCCAATCTTCATTCCTGTTTCATTCCCAATCATTAATTCATTCCGTTGCCTGGTTCTGGTTAAAATAAATAATAAAAAGCGATGTTAAAATGTGCGTGTATTTTATGAGGGAAATCTTTTTTTTCATAGGCGTACCATACGGGCTGACTGCTGTTGCAGCTCTATGATTGGTCGATATGTTAGTAATTAAAATAACTTTGATCATTAAACATTTCGGCAATGGAAAATTACAACACAGCATACAACGTTTACATCCTAACCTGCGTGATGATGATCATCATCCGAATCATCGCATGAACATAGTCACAAACATCTATGCTTTGTTTTATTGAGGTCTCCAGCGCTTGCACGTTATCTTTTAATTCTTACTTGTCTGTTGAATGTCCTGCAAAAGCTTACTAATTAACCCTCGCTTTAATACACAACCGCATTGGTCTCAAATTAGTTCGCATTTGCATTCTAATGAATTAATTTCACATCTGCTAAAAAAATAAACACGTTATTTACCGGTATCGTTGGTTCGAATGAGAAAAACTGCGCCCTCGGTTTTGAAAACGTCCCGCGCCCTCTAGATCTCGGGCACAATTTTTCTTATCCGGACCTCGCAGCCGGTTAATAACACATATATACTCTAGAAAGTGTGATCAGTGTGATTATGGTTATCTCTGCATGGTATACATGCTGTCACTTATTTCAGCGTATTGATGAGTACAGAACGATCACGGTAGGGAAGAATGCCATGTAGAGTAGGACATGAGATAAGATTAGTTTAACGGTGGACATAAGAGTTTTCAAGTACTTCAAGCACAAACAAATTTCAAGCTTCAAACGAGTTTGATTGTCTTGTTTTTTAAATATTGTTCAATATTAAGCAATTGAAGTCTAGCTTGAATGGTCAATCGGACTCGTTTTAATTTTCAAAAATTTCTGTATTTTCTTCTTTTTTCAGCTGTTGCAAATCAGGGATGCCCGAAAGGCTGGAAGAACTACGACAATTCATGCTATCTTCTTGTCATGCGAAAAATGAATTGGGGGGACTCCAGAGCTAACTGTTTGGCATATGGAGGGGACATGGTTTCTATCCTTGATTCCTCGGAAGTTAGATTTATTTACCAACAAACAAGTGCCATTAAAATCTCTAGATTTTGGATAGGATTAATCCGTACGAAAATGACTAGTGATCCAAAGGATGGCTGGATCTGGAGTGATGGTAATAATATTACATATCCTCTGCAGTGGGGACCCGGCGAGCCAAATAACGACCAGAATAATGAACATTGTGCTGAAATTTTGCCCGGGAAGTCATGGTGGAATGATAATGATTGTGCAAGAGAATATGCTTCGATTTGCAAAAGGAAAAAGGGTAATTTACACATGCTTTTCTTACACAATACCGAGTGTAATATATTGTATATGCATATAACACCTGTTTACGACAAATGCTTAGGAATGCTTTCCTCCCGACTAGTTTTAGCCTGCGAACAGGCCCTGGGTTACGGGCGGCGCGAAGAATAGAGGGCCTGCACGCGGAACTACAGGTTTTCTTAGTAGTGGCGTTCGTATAGAAACGCAGGCTTCTGATTGGCTTACACTCGTTGACAAAATTACTAAAAATAGCAAATGTTAACAACAGCATTTTGAAGAATTTGAACTTTATTCATTTTAATATTATATATTATAAGACTATCGAACAAATAGAACTAGAAATGGAAACCAAAAGCAATAGCAAAGCATCCCAGCAAAAAAGTCGATCATAAATGACTTGAATCTATCGCTTAAATCCAATACGCGAAACTATAACAGTATTCTGAACTTCGTCTTCGGATTGACATCAGACTATAGTATAGTACATTTTGAGGTCGTCGTGGCTTCACGGATTATTCTCATTAGTGAGCAAGTCAGCAAGCGAAGGCATACAAAAGATACCCAAATATGTACGAATAATTATATTGTTGATCCTCGCTGGCATGTCATTTAGATAAATATATATCGTACATTAAACGTTGTACTATTTACTGTATAAACTGCTGACAATTTCGACGTCGATACGGCTTCCACTACTGGCACACTCGTGATTTCGAAGAAATTAATAAATACATGCTCATTTATCATTTATTTAGACAACAGCTAGTAAAATTTTAGACGTATTCGGTATTCCAAATCCGAATCTATCTGACCGTATTTTAGTAATCTTCAAATATTCAGAACATTGTTCTTTCAGTCGCACCATAGTACAAGTATTACTGTACATACAATGCCAATGGTAGTATTTTATTCGGCTTTATTTTTGTATGTGTATTGATATCTATTTAATATTTGAAGAATTCTATATTTTTCCGTGTAATATATTGTGCGGCCCGCTAATGCTTTGTATTATTGTTCATATATACATTATGTATACATTTTAATATTCAGTATTTCTTTGTTGCACAATGTACACGCCTTGCGTCAATTTGACTTTTGACAGTTTATTTATCGCAGTCGACGCTGATTGGTTCGCGTTTAGCAGATGCGAAAAGGGGATGATTGAATAAAACGCATGGTTCCGTGCAGGCTCACCTTTCTCCCAGTGCGCATGTTCGCAGGCTAGACTAGTTTCAATTAACTTGTTTAATCAAGACTATCATCATTGGCCGAATAGTCAGGCTGAGTACGCTGAAGTTCCGGGCTTTCTAGAAGCCAGCGCTTTTTAGAGAATGCATTTTTTTAAAGAAGTATAATTGTACTTTTGTCCTGAATCAAACATGGAAATATTTGAATAGCAGCTAATCCAAAAGCCATTGTAAGTTCCTTGGCTTCGTGATTAACCGCGCGATGTTTCCAGGTCCCCGCTACAAAACACTACGGTAATGTGGATAATAATATTTTGTGGCATAAATTAATGGCATCCTGACAGTAAGAAAACAATTAGTGATCCAAAGGAAGGCTGGATCTGGAGTAATGGCAATAATTTTACTACTGCTCCTCCGTGGATTGGAGGCGAACCAAATAACTGCCAGAATAACAAAAATTGTACAGAACTTTCCAGATATGCATGGCAGGTGGAAAAGCTGGAATATGATGATAATTGTGGCAATTAATATTCTTCCATTTGTAAAAGAAAAATAGGTAATTTCTGCAAGCTGATTTCATATGATACGAATTAAAAAAAGATGTGAAATTATCCGACAACCATTTTAAGCAGTCCCTGCCATTACAATTTTCCCCACCAACTGGTTTGAACTAATATATTCAAGATTCTCGCGTATTCATTTCTCGTGATTGGGATGTGATAAGGAGCGAATGCATGCAGTATCTGTTCATTTCCTTGTTTTTAATTGTGTAAAAATTGCGTACTTAATTTAAATATAAATCAGTGACCGTGGATGCGGATTGTTAATGTAAGGTCGTATAGTTAAGCTATACTAAAGGATATCTGCGTGGAAATACTCAACTGTACGATATATATATATATATATATATATATATATATATATATATATATATATATATATATATATATATATATATATATATATATATATATATATATATATATACTGTCAATACGCTTAATTGATCGTTTCAGTCCAACAATACCTGAATCGAAATTTGCAAGCTACAGTATGCTTATTTCTGCCACAAATCTCGTTATTCCAATTCCGCAACGTAGAGAGTTAGGTAATACTCCATACGATAGCGCATATAGTCCATTATCTTTAGTCGTGTTTACACTACCAGCCTTAGCCTGGCATTGGCATACATTTTGGCAGTCTAAACAGACTTTAGCATGTCCTTGGCCTGACCTAGGCCAGGAAATTTGGGCCCACTACAATTGGTGGCCTAGGCCTAGGCTTGTGGAAATGTAAATACTTTCGGCCCTGGCTTGGGCTTTATTTTCATGGCAACGTGTGTCCACATGAAGTGAGGGATTAGCGGACAACAAGCGAACAACGTCACAACACATAAAAATACACAAAATTAATAACAAAATACTAGGCCAATGTGAGCCAAAACGCGCCACATTTACCTTGGCCAGGCCAAGGCCAGACCTAGGCTAGGCCAAGCCTAGGCCAAGGCTGGTAGTGTATATAGTGTTTAGAGATAATGTACAGTTAATATATGCATAATAGATTAGTATGGATAGTTAGGTATAAATATGGATCGTAGAAGTCGGCCATATTGATTATTGTACTTCAGTAATACATGTACAAGTTAGCAAGTTTTTCTGGTTGAAATATAAATCTCTTATAAGAAAGAGACACTAAATTGGCGACGAGGATGGTCAAGGAACAATATTTAGTTACAAAATAATGCCATAAAGTTGAAAGATTAGATGGACAAGGATTAAATTCGAGAAAAAAAAAAATTCATCTACATCGACTTTGTTAAATATGGCGGTTTTCAAAGCCTTTCATGGCGGAATACCAACGTTTGACCCAAAAGGTGAGCCCACCAGTATAGCTCCGAGGTGGAGAAGGTGGAAAAGAGCATTCGAACTCTTTGTTGTCGGAAAAGGAATTACCGACAAGACACAAAAACGAGCTTTGATGTTACATTGTGCTGGTATGGATGTACAGGATATTTTTGATACTTTACCAGATAATGGCAATGCTAATGATTATGATAAGGCGATCGAAGCGTTGGATACATATTTCAACCCTGCTGTTAATGTACCGTATGAAAGACATATGTTTCGTCGAATGAGTCAAGAAGAAAGTGAGACAATTGACCAATTTGTAACAAGGCTGAAACAGAAAGCGTTGAGTTGTGATTATGGGGAATCTAGTGATGAATTCATCCGAGATCAAGTCATCGACAAATGTCGTTCAGTGGCACTACGAAGAAAATTGCTTGAAAGAGGACAAACTTTAACACTTAAGCAGCTTCAAGAAATCTCAAGAGCACATGAAGCTTCATATTTTCAAGCTAATAAAATTAATGATGACGCAGGACATGAAGTCAAGAAAGAAAATATCAATCGAATCAAAGGGAAGTTTCAAAGTAAATTTAAATCACCCAACAAGAAATGTTTCAGATGTGGCAAAACAGACCACTTTGCCAAGTCACCAAAGTGTCCAGCAAAATCTGCTGAATGTCATAAGTGTCATAAGGAGGGACATTTTGCAAGTGAGTGTAGAACTAAAGTCAGTAATGAGAGAGACAATAAAAAGAAAATAAACTATACAAGAGAAGATCAGGAATCCAAAGAGGGTGACAATGAATATGCTTTTGTTGTTAATCATCAGTCGGATGAAAACAGTGGTTTAGTCGATATCAAAGTTGGAGGAGTGTTGTGCAATTTTCTTATTGACTCTGGTTCAACGTGTAATGTAATCGATAAATCCTGTTGGGAGAAACTTAAAGCCAAGCAAATAAAATGTAAGTCGGAGAAAACAGCAACACAGATTTATTCATATGGATCAAGTAAGCCACTTATTGTTGCTGGGAAATTTACAGCCGATGTTGTATGTCAAGGCAAAGAAGTAAAAGAAGCAGAATTCATAGTGATTGAAGGCACCGGTAAGCCATTACTGGGAAAGAAAACTGCTATTCAATTGAATGTCTTGAAGATTGGTCCACAACCTGTGATATCGGAAGGTGTCAACTCAGTCGAGGATGACAATACATTCAGAGATAGAATGATGAAAACATATTCGGGGTGTTTTAAAGGTATTGGAAAGTTGAAAGACAGACAGCTGGAAGTTAACTTAGACCCAAATGTGAAACCTGTGGCACAGAGAGCTCGTAACATTCCATATGGATTACAGTCTAAAGTTGAAAAGAAATTAGATGAATTGGAAAGGCAAGGTATATTAGAAAAGGTAAAAGGACCAGCAAAATGGGCAAGTCCACTTGTTGTTGTACCTAAGCCAAATGGTGACATTCGACTGTGTACGGACATGCGCAAAGCCAATGAAGCGATTGTTAGAGAGAAGTTTCCTATTCCTACAGTGGATGATATCCTTCATGAAATAAATGGTAGCAAAGTTTTCTCAAAATTGGATCTCAAATATGGATATTACCAGCTAGAGCTTGAAGAGAAATCGAGAGAAATCACAACCACTGTCACTCACAAGGGACATTATCGATATACACGTCTAATTTTTGGTATGAATAATGCATCAGAATATTATCAGTATCATATTGGTGATGCAATTCGCGATTGCGAAGGTGTGCATAATATATCGGACGATATTATCGTACATGGAAAGGATCAAGCTGAGCACGACGAAAGGCTTGAA